CGTCGCGGCGGTGGGCGCGGCGGCCGAGTGGTGGCGGGGCTCGTCGAGCCCGCTGCCACCGCGCGACGACGTGCAGGCGGCGCTCGAGGAGCTCATCGTGGACGTGCTCGGCACCCTCGCGCCAACCATCGTCGCGACGCTGGTCGCCTACAAGGCCACCTTCTCCGCCGCGAGCTGGGCACGCTCCGTGGAGCGCCTTGAGAGGAAGGGCCTCACCGACAGCGCCGGCGGCGTGCGGTCCTCCATCACGCTGGACGAGCTCGGGAAAGTGTCGATCGACGGGCTGGGCGGGCACGGCTTCGGCCGCCTCGCGTGCATCAACGGCAACAAGTCGGAGAAGCGGACGGCTACAGCTACTGCCGCTTTGATCAAGGCCGTCATCGCGGCGCAGCTCAAGCACAACGCCACGGTGGTTGAGGACAAGCGCGTGCAGCCGCTCGTCGCCACAAAGAAGTACACGTACCGGCAGCTCGCCTCCGCGCGCCGGCAGCTCACCCGCCTCTCGGCCGCGCCCGTCTCTGTGGCCGTCCTCGTCGCCTTCAACACCGAGGCGGACACGCACAACGCCTCTGCGCCCAAGGGGAAGACGGTGGCGCGGTTCGACGTGAAGGGCACCTACACGATCACGCAGCTCGCCAAGGCGCGCGAGCAGCTCACCCTCGCAACGAAGCGCGTCGCCTCGGGTGAAAGTGCGCTTGTCGAGCTGCTGGAGGAGAAGCTGACGGAGCGCGACGCGGCAGGAGCGCTGGTCTTCCGATGCCGCGGCGGCGGCCCTCAGTGTGGCGGCCCTGACTGGGCGCGGCTCGGCAAGGACAAGTCGATCGCGGTATACGTGAAGCATTGCGCATCAGCAAAGGCGATGGTCCAATACCTCTCCCGCCACTGCAAATCGTATCCTGATCTGGCCGCCCACGTCGACGTCTTCACCGCATCTTGGGAGGCCCTGCAGAGCGAGATGTACTTCGCCATTGCGGGCCTCGTCGATCAGCTCTCTCTCGGTAAGGGCGTGATGCGACGCCAGGACTGGGAGGCGGCGGTAGCCGAGGTGGCCAAGGTGCCCGGCCACTGCCTCGCCGGCCTGAGCGCACCGCAGCTGCAACGCCGCTGGTCTCGCCGAGCGGGCTTCAGCTCGGACACGTCCTCCGGCACTGGCACCTTCGCGCTCATCCTCGCAGCAGAGCTGACACCGGCGCCGCCCGAGCGGCGACATCTCATCAAGATTGCGCCCGAGGCGACGGACGCATGCGGCGGCACCATCTGGTACGACCACACGGACGGCGTCCTGTTCAACTCGGGCGAGGTTGCAGCGCAAGACGTGTCCGTGCGAGTCGGCGAGAGGATCCAGGCGCGGCCGTCCTCACCATCGGGCCCTCCACCCGCCGCGTACGTCCTCGTGCGCCGAGCGGCTGACAAGCCGACGCAAGGCGCCAAGCGCGCAAGAGGCGCGGACAAGCCGCAGCAGGACACCGAGCGCCCCTCGAGCAGCGGAGATGGGGCGACGGGCAAGCGTCCGGCGCGCAAGACTGCAGTCAAGGCCAGAGCGGTTATCGC